CCTCCGCGGCGGCCGCTGTGTGGTGGTGGTTGGTTTCCGGGGAGCCCGGGCTGCTGCCGGGCCGGAGCGCATCCCGGGGAGGCGGCTTCTGCTCGACCCCCAGCGCCAGGGCCGCCCTTGTTTTAAAGAAGAGTCACGGCTTTTCAAAATATCAAAATAAATAAAGAATTGTGTGGTATATATGCGTACATACATGTCTGTATATATCTATATACACACATATATATACACACACACACATATATATGGCTTTTTTTTCCTGCAGAAAAAGAAAAAAGTCTGATAGCGATGGTAGGCTTTAAAGGTTTTCTCTTTGATGGATTCTTTGGGGTTTCTCTGTAACAGCTGTAGTTCTGTAAATCTTGGTTATCTTGGTGATACTTCCCTCTGTGTGCATGTGATGGAACATTTTTTTTTTCTTCTAACAGCTGCCTCCAGTTTTTCTATTTATAAGAAAAAGAAACAGCTTTGTAGCTTTTATTAGTGTTAGAAAAAGAGACTGAGTCGTCCAACTTATATTTGGTTTCTAGATATAGTGATAAAGAAAAAACAGTTTTGAATTGGCTGTTGCTCATTCCCTTCATGTCCTGCTAGTTCAGTAGCAAGATCTTGTCACTCTGTGCAGCTTCATCACATGAAGATGGAGGACTACGAAAAGTTTTGTAAGAAGCATTTTTCCAGAATCCAAGAAGAGGCTATAAAAAGGGAACCCTCTCGCAGTCTTCCTCACAAAAATAGCTCGCTCATCCAGTTCCATGGAGTTCCTGTGCTTTCCCCTCTGGTAAGTGGGTTTTGCTGTTTTGCTTTGTTTTGTGTGTGTGCGTCCTAACTACTCTGTCGGTGCTAACTCTGATGTCTGAGGTATACATATGTCACAAGGTGATAGTGGAACTAGCAAATGTTGAGATAGCTAAAAATCTTTAAATTTACTGTTCTGAACATTCTCAGTCTCCTCTCATCTCTTTCGCGTGCTTATCAGTTGTGTTAAGTCATTCTATGCTCACCTTAAACAGACCCCCCAAAATGACAAAAAAGCTGTTGATCATTTGCGTAATAATGACACAGTCTGACTTCCTTGTTTCAGTGATGTGAAATATGAAAGGAGAGGCTATCTAATAACAAATTCTAAAAAAAAAAATTATATAGTTGCATATTACAAGATATCATGTACTCTCCAATGTATCAATTAGCTCTAGAGCATGTTTATTTATGATTGGGTGGATGTTTTTAAATTTTCATAGAAAAAAATGCATGATTTAACTTGAGATTAATTTTTACCTAATTCTGTAAACTTTGTAGAACCAGCTTTTGTAGGTTTAGGTTTGTAGATTTTTTTATTCAAACCACACATTCTAAAGTAGTAACTCAGAAGATTTTGA